CATATACACTCAAATAACCTGAAAGACTTTACCTTAACACAGGCGTACTTCAGTTTATGAATTTAATGCATTCTGCGGGAGTTTCGTACTGGGAAAAATTCATAAACCGAAACGTGGTTTTAGGAATGCATTGAAAATCAATTAAAGTTCCGGAGGTCAGTAAAAAGTAAAAAAAAGGGTTTTTTCTGCTCAAAAACGCTTTGGCTCAAGTGCACTTTGAGCATCTGTACTGATTAAAAAACAAATCTTAAATGCATTGAAAACCAATTAATCCATTTCGGAGGTCAGAAAAAAGTAAAAAAAAAGTTCTTCTCTGGAAATACAAAAAAAGTGCACTTTAACCACTTGCCGACCGGCCGTTGTTATAAACGGCCCAGGACGGTGGCACTGCAGGGTCGGGTGGCCGTCACAAACGGCCTCCCCGCCTGTTGTGGCCCCCTGGGAGCGCGCAGCACCGCGATCCGGTGCCCGCTGTGTCCTCCGGACACAGTGAAATTTAGGAACCCTCTGTACTGGTTTGGAGAATGATTTTGGCAATCAAATCACTTATTGTAGCATGTCACCGTACATCATTGCTTACATGGTGAAATTGAATTATCACACTTGAAGAACATTTCACATATTGATTTGTAGAAGGAACGGACCATATACAGCTATATAGTTTTTCAATGATTTTTTGGCACTTTAAAAAGAGAAATGTTTGATTTACATCCTATAGGCTGCTGCTACTTTTTTGGTCACTAAAAAAAAAAATTATGTCAATTACCCCTCAGCATGTAATTTATTTCAGCCACTTGATCCATTTAGAGTGTGAAAAACTTGAGTTATTTATTGACGCACTATTTAAAAAACTAATAATATATTTATTTGAAAAAAATAAAATAAAAATGTAAAATTGCAATTATTTTATTATTATTTATTTTTGTTGATAAACTAGTCATGGATTTTATATTTTGTATATAAATTGATCAATAATTTTATATATTTATTCATTTATTTATTTGCAAAATTTTATAAGCGCCACACTATATTAAAATTTATTTCAACTTTATGCAAAAAAAATAGCTTGCCTTTGTGGTGGTGAAGGTACACCTACAATAAAGCTACCTATTCATCAGGGGTTAAAAAGTATTGTCAGTGTTCTTGCCAATTCTCTATTTCGCTAGTTTAATTTGTCGTGTTCAGGAAGGGGGTCAAATGTCGGTTGCACATTCACGGGGCCGTCACTATAAACAGGCGCAATGCATCCTGGGGAAACTTGCTTCGTATTGCGAAAAAAATGTTTAAAACGAGGCATTTCTTTTCAATGGATTTTCATTTGTAAACCAAAAATTACATTAACTGAGGCGTTCGTAAAAACGGGGTACGCCTGTATATAAAAAGCATTGGCAGAGTTTGAGGCTTCACAGAAGGGGTTAGAGGAAGATTGGACGCTCTCTGGGCACCACTGTACACAAACTATATACTAGCTTGCCTTTGTAGAGGTGACCAGGTACACCTACAATTGTACCAATTCAAAAGAATTGTCGTATCTTGCCAAATCTACATATCTACAGTTTAATGCATTGTCGTGTTGCTCAATTGTTGCACAAACCCATATTTATAGTCACAGGCATGAGGCTAAAATCCAATCATTCAAAATTCTCTTTGTTAATTTTAAACCTCCCATCTTTTTCATAATATGCTTGGATCCTGAATGAGTTACATTCACTGAATTCTGCACTAACAAACAGAGACATTTCTATTTGGAGAAACTAGGAGAAAAGGGGAGCTGTCCAATCACTTGCCAGATACCATCTACAACCCCCCCAAAAAAGTTGGGACGCTGTGCAAAATCTACATATCCACAGAATGCATTGGTTTTTCAAGGCTTTTTTCATAAACCACATTTTAGGGCCACAATCCCCTAAAATTGAAAACATGGATCACATATTTGTCAACCTCCCCCTTCATGGATAGGGTACACATGCACCTTTAAAGGGCAAAACTCTGACATCTTGTCACTCACATTCTCCTGGCCCAAAGCCCACCTCCATTGTACTACTCACACTCTTCTGACCTAAAGCCCACCTCCAGAGATAAAGGAATATCCACACAAACAACCTTTTAATGACTTTACTGAAGAAAAAACATGTCAGGTCCCCTGTTCAGCAACTTCTTCATTTACATAGCTCTAGTTCCAGCATTACAGGACGCAACAATATAGTAACACTTGAATACAGAATGTTCAGCCATCTGTCCCTGTCAGGGAGCGAGGAGCCAGGCACACAAGGAGGTGCAATTAAAGGTAAGTTTATTTACACAGAAACAAGGTAAGAGTCTATGCAAGTCCGACAGCAACAGTGGATCACTTGGTAGGACAGAAGTTCTCCTGCCGAGGTTCGTTTTCCAGGATAATCAAGTCGAGAACCAGCGGGAATCGTAGCCAAAGCCGGGGTCAGAAGCCAGGAAGAATGGTCGCCAGAGCCGGGTCAGAACCCAGGAAGAATGGTCGCCAGAGCCGGGTCAGAACCCAGGAAGAATGGTCGCCAGAGCCAGGGTCAGAAGCCAGGAAGAATGGTCGCCAGAGCTGGGGTCAGAAGCCAGGAAGAATGGTCGGCAGAGCCGGGGTCAGAAGCCAGGAAGAATGGTCGCCAGAGCCGGGGTCAGAAGCCAGGAAGAATGGTCGCCAGAGTCGGGGTCAGAAGCCAGGAAGAATGGTCGCAGAGCCGGGGTCAGAAGCCAGGAAGAATGGTCGCCAGAGCCGGGGTCAGAAGCCAGGAAGAATGGTCACCAGAGCCGGGGTCAGAAGCCAGGAAGAATGATCGCCAGAGCTGGGGTCAGAAGCCAGGAGGAGTCTTAGCCAAAGCCGAGTCGGTATCCAGGAGAGCAAAGAGTTAACTGAACAGGAGCTTGCTGCTGTGCAACACACAGGACACGAATGCAATGGACAGCTACAAACAGCAGACTTAAATGTGATAAGCCGCCACCTCCTGGGAGGAGCCACAGAGGGCTGAAAGCATAAAGGATCCCACAATGCTTTGCAGACCTAAGATGGATGCCAGCACATGGAGCAGCACAAGCCCTGAGGAAAGGTAGGACCTTGATACTCCCACACTCCTCAATGTAGGTTACCTAATGGAGTCTCTTATGGCCTATCTTGAAGAGTACTTTCTCCCAGGTTAAAAACAAACAAAAATTCCCAGCTCATTTACCAGCCAGCCTGCAACAAAATCTAATTGACCCTGTGTAACAATTCATGCTAAAACAAGGGGTTTAGTTGTACACATTTACAAATGTATGTGTAAGCTGCAGTGGCCACATCAATCTATAATTGTGATTGTAATTTTGAGTGTCTCCCAAGTTTTAGAAAATATATTAATGGATAGATTAAGGGAAGTTGTGTCTGGAGGGAGGCCACCCTCCTTAAATGTACAGGGATGCACGGGACACCCCGGCTACAGACCTACATACTCTATGACAGGGGTAATCTGTTCCCATTACTCTTTCTGCCTTAGCCTTCTCCCCCCCCCCCCCCCCCCCCCCCCCCCCCCCCCCCCACACTATCTTAGAAAGGAGTAGAGTACTCCACTTTCTTACATCACCCAGAGGAGGGGCCTCAGTAAAAGGGGTACTAACCCTTGCCTACAAGGTTATAAGTGCATTAGGTTCAAATTCCAACCACAGCACTGCCTGCTTGGAGTTTGCATGTTCTCCCTGTGCCTGCATGGGTTTCCTTAGGTACTCTAGTTTCCTCCCACACTCCAAAGACATGCTGTAGGTGAATTGGCTCCTGTCTACATTGTCCCTAGTATGTGTATGTATGAATGTGAGTTAGGGACCTTAGATTGTACACCCCTTGAGGGTTAGGGACTGATGTGAATGTACAATATATATGTAAAGCGCTGCGTAAATTGATGGCGCTATAGAAGTACCTGAAATAAATAAATTGTCATTTGTGCATGTTACTTGCCTGTAAAATGCCTTGATAATGTAGACTTCCTAAAGGCCGTAGACAGCTGCCTGGCACCACAATCATGGATGTCATATCAGCAGCCCTGGCAGACTAATGAGCTGTCACCCAAGTGATAGTCTATACTATTCCCCTTCTCCCCTGGTAAGGGGAGGGGCAGAGTTTCTGGGCCAGCATAGACAGTAATTAGACACTCCCACAAGAAGAGAAAGGTTTAGGCATGGTAAAGAGGAGGGAGAGCTGTGGGTGAATTCCCTAGAAAGCTTAAAGGCACATTCCAAGTTGATAAATCATTGTTAACGGAAGGGAAAATACTACAAGTAAGCATTTAAAATACTTCCCTGTGCCTTTCAACTGTAATTTTTAATTGGTGACATGGTCCCTTTAAAAAAAAATCTCCTTCCTTATTGATGCACATGCATTTTATTGAAATCTTCCGAATATTACCAAAATTTTGTAGCAATTATATTCTTTTCCCTGCTGGCAATGTTTCATAAGTGGTAAGGTTTCCCCAGTAGCATTTGTTATTCAATGGCTTTGCTGCCTGTAGTTTCCTGAGAAATGGAGCAAGTTTTGTTTTCAGCAATTGTGCAGTTTATACCATATAATAGCATCTTATAGTTAGAATACAGATGTTTTAGGTACTAAATAAACAAAACGACATTGGGGAGATGATACTAAAACACCAGGCTCCATGGCACATTCTATCTTCACCTGTAGCCTTTTACCTGCTGTACATGCTTTGCCTGCTGTAATAATGTCTCCGGGATCCTTTCACACATAGATAATGAGAACGCGGAGGACAGTTATATTGTTAGAGCAATTGATTAGGGAATGGAGTAAATCCGTCTTTTGCCAGAGCTCTCTAATGAACTTTGATGACTTGCTGTGAATTTCCAGCTAATCATTCATCCAAGTGGAAAATATTTCTTGAACTTTTTAACTAAGTAGTTTAAAGCAAAGCTACATTTCAGTCCATTGAAATGAAAACTTTGTGGGAAAAACTGACATCCTCCAACAACCTGTTACTCAGGGGCGGACTGAGAACTCATGGGGCCCCCGGGCAATAGGGGATCATGGGGCCCCTGTGTCCTTGCCCATACTCAAAAAAGCCTATGAAAAAGGTACCAGGGGCATCTCATGGGGCCCCCTACTGACCCCGGGCCCTCGGGCAGTGCCCGAGTTTCCAAATGGTCAGTCCGCCCCTGCTGTTACTTTTATTATTATTATTATACAGGAATTATATAGCACCAACATTTTGCACAGAGCTTTAAAATATAAAGAGAGACAATGCAACTGCAATACAGTTAAATACAGTAGGAACAGGAATGCCCTGCTCATGGAACTTACAATCCAAAGTTCCCAGATGTAGCAGTTCATATTCAAAAGGTCTTTTGATGTATTAAACTTTCAAATATTCTTAAAGAAAGTTGTTTTTCATATTCAAAAGTGTTTTTTTTTTCAGTGTCACCTCTTATCTTAGTAACTCTTGGCCAAAATCCCAGTTTAGCAGATAGGATCAGGGTGACGTTTTCAGGGCATGCACCTTATTTTTACAAATGCTCTTTAATGATGTTTTAAGTAGTTACAAAAGAAGTAGCACAGTTCTCGAAAACATATCTGTGCTTGCAGTTGGCCCACTGTTCCCTGCTCTTCATTCCACAAAAAAATTTGTATTTGGAAATGGTCAGTGTTTATGAATACCATCAGCCTTTAGAAAGTATGTACAGCGGGTAAAATAAGTATTGAATACATCTCCACTTTTCTCAGTAAATATACAGTCAGGTCCATAAATACCTCAGTGGGAGGCACATATGCAAACTGTTTTAATTCCTACACCGTTCACCTGATTTGGATGTAAATACCCTCAAATTAAAGCCGACAGTCTGCAGTTAAAGCACATCTTGTTCGTTTCATTTCAAATCCATTGTGGTGGTGTATAGAGCCAAAAATGTTAGAATTGTGTTGATGTCCCAATATTTATGGACCTGACTGTATTTCTAAAGGTGCTATTGACATGAAATTTTTACCGCATGGTGGTAACAATCCATGCAATCTATACATACCAAGAAACCAAAACAAATACGTTCAAAAATTAAGTTATGTGTAATCAAATGGAATGACACGGGGAAAAAAGTATTGAACACATGAAGAAAGGGGGGTGCAAAAAAGCATGGAAAGCCAAGACACCAGCTGAAATCTGTCAGTAATTAGAGAGCAAACCCACCCCTTGTCAGTGCAAATTAATATCAGCCGGTTCAGTCTCAACTGATGGCCTATAAAAAGGTGTCTCATTACCAAGGAATCACACAAAAAACCTCTGATGGGTGAAAACAAAAAGCTCTCTCAAGACCTTCGCATCCTTATTGTTGCAAAACGTACTGATGGCATTGGTTACAGAAGGATGTCTAAACTTCTGAATGTTCCAGTGAGCACTGTTTGGGCCATAATTTGGAAGTGGAAAGTACATCATTTCACGACCGGGTGCTCCTCCAAGATTTGTGACAGAGGAGAGAAGAGAATTATCAGAAGAGTTGTCCAAGAGCCAAGGACCACTTGTGGAGCGCTTCAGAAAGACCTGGAATTGGCAGGTACAATTGCTTCAAAGAAAACAATAAGTAATGCACTCAGCCGCCATGACCTGTATGCACTCTCACCACACAAGACTCCATTGCTGAAGAAACAGAATGTTGAAGCTCATTTAAAGTTTGCTGCATAACATTTAACCACTTGAGCACCTGAGGATTTACCCTTTTTTTGCTGTTTGGCGCTGCCCTAATTCAAATGATAATTGCGCGGTCATGCAATGCTGTACCCAAACGAAATTTACGTCTTTTTTTTCACACAAATAGAGCTTTCTTTTGGTAGTATTCGATCACCTGTGCGCTTTTTATTTTTTGCGCTATAAACAAAAAAACACGAAAATATTGAAAAAAAACAATATTTTCTACTTTCAGCTATAAAAAATATATCGTAAACTCAAAGTTAGTCATAAATTTAAGCCAAAATGTATTCTGCTCCATGTTTTTGGTAAAAAAAATCCCGTGCATTAGCGGGCAAACTGGCGCTATCTGGGAGGGGCGCTAACACTATCGGAAGTCACCAGTGACACTAATACAGTGATCAGTAAAAATCTGTTCACTGTAATCAATGACACTGGTGACAGGGCAGTGAAGGGGTTAACTGGGGGGGGGGGGGGGGGCGATCAAGGGGTTAAATGGGATTTCTGGTGCACTAGCTGGCAAACTGGCGCTATCTGGGAGGGGCGCTAACACTATCGGAAGTCGCCAGCGACACTGATACAGTGATCAGTAAAAATCGGTTCATTGATCAGTGACACTGGTGACAGGGCAGTGAAGGGGTTAACTGGGGGGGGAGATTAAGGGGTTAGACGGGATTATTGGTGTATTAGTGGGCAATCTGGCGCTATCTGGGAGGGGCGCTAACACTATCGGAAGTCGCCAGCGACACTGATACAGTGATCAGTAAAAATCGGTTCACTGATCAGTGACACTGGTGACAAGGCAGTGAAGGGGTTAACTGGGGGGGGAGATTAAGGGGTTAAATGGGATTACTGATGTACTAGCGGGCAATCTGGCGCTATCTGGGAGGGGCGCTAACACTATCAGAAGTCGCCAGCGACACTGATACAGTGATCAGTAAAAATTGGTTCACTGATCAGTGACACTGGTGACAGGGCAGTGAAGGGGTTAACTGGGGGGGGCGATCAAGGGGGTAAACGGGATTACTGGTGTACTGGCGGGCAATCTGGCGCTATCTGGGAGGGGCGCTAACACTATCGGAAGTCGCCAGTGACACTAATACAGTGATCAGTAAAAATCTGTTCACTGTAATCAATGACACTGGTGACAGGGCAGTGTAGGGGTTAACTGGGGGGGGGGGGGCGATCAAGGGGTTAAATGGGATTTTTGGTGCACTAGTGGGCAAACTGGCGCTATCTGGGAGGGGCGCGCTAACACTATCGGAAGTCGCCAGTGACACTGATACAGTGATCAGTAGAAATCGGTTCACTGATCAGTGACACTGGTGACAGGGCAGTGAAGGGGTTAACTGGGGGGGGGAGATTAAGGGGTTAGACGGGATTATTGGTGTATTAGCGGGCAATCTGGTGCTATCTTGGAGGGGCGCTAACACTATCGGAAGTCGCCAGCGACACTGATACAGTGATCAGTAAAAATCGGTTCACTGATCAGTGACACTGGTGACAGGGCAGTGAAGGGGTTAACTGGGGGGGGGATTAAGGGGTTAAATGGGATTACTGGTGTACTGGCGGGCAATCTGGCGCTATCTGGGAGGGGCGCTAACACTATCGGAAGTCGCCAGCGACACTGATACAGTGATCAGTAAAAATTGGTTCACTGATCAGTGACACTGGTGACAGGGCAGTGAAGGGGTTAACTGGGGGGGGGGGGCGATCAAGGGGTTAAACGGGATTACTGGTGTACTGGTTGGCAAACTGGCGCTATCTGGGAGGGGCGCTAACACTATCGGACGTTGCCAGCGACACTGATACAGTGATCAACACAGGACAGGATAGGACAGGGACCGATCATCTGATTTCAGCCAGACATCACTGGCTGAAATCTAATGACTGATCCCTCCGGGATCGAATGGTGTCACCCGCGGGTCGGCGGGAGCGCGCGCGCACGCCCCCTGCAGGCGAGAACGGCGGGAGCACGGAACCCGTTTTAAAACGTGGTTTTGCGCCTGAGTGCCGCCCTGCACACGTATATATACAGTGGCAGGGCGGCAAGCGGTTAAACAAGCATGTGAAATAGAGAAGATAGTCTACTCATATGAGACCAAAATTTAACTCTTTGGTTTCCATAATACTCACCATGTTTGGAGGTCAAATGGCTCTGCACATCACACCCAAAAACACCATACCAATAGTGAAGCATGGCGGTGGGAACATCATGGTGTGGGGCTGTTTTTCAGCAAACTTCATCTCATTGAAGGAAGGATGAATGGCAAATGTACCAAGACATTCTTGATAAAAAGCTGCTGCCATCTACCAGGATGATGAAGATGGAACAAGGGTGGATATTTCAGCAAGACAATGATCCCATATACAAAGCCAAAGGAACTCAATTGGTTTCAAAGATAAAAATAAAGCTGCTAGAATGGCCCAGCCAATCACCTGACTGGAATCCAATAGAAAATCTATGGAAAGAACTAAAGATCAGAATTCATAGAAGAGGCCCTCCGAACCTTCAAGATTTGAAGACTGTTTGTGTTGAAGAATGGGCCAAAATCACACCTGAGCAATGCATGCATCTAGCTTCTCCACACAGGAGGCATCTTGACGCTGTCATTACCAACAAAGGATTTTGTACAAAGTATTAAATACATTTCAGTTAGTGTGTTCAATACTTTTTCCCCGTGTCATTCCAATTTATCACACAAAGCTTAATTGCTGAACCTATTTGTTTTGGTTTCTTCCTATGTATGGATGGCATGGGTTGTTATGGATGTGTGGTGGAAACTTCATATCAATAGTACCTTTAGAAATATATTTACTGAGAAATATGGTGACGTGTTCAGTACTTATTTCACCCGCAGTATATACTTGTTAAAGTCAGCATCCTGTAATCCTTGCAAGGCGCTCTGCAGATCTCACTGTGTCCAAGGTACCAGGAATGATAGTGGAACCGTGCATGCACAAGTGATATCACAACAGGTGAGGTCTATGCAGGATTTGTTATAAAAATATACCATCACCATTAGAGCTCTCCAACAAGGCAACCAGATTTTCTGAAATTTCCCAGGCCAGTTTCTGCTCAAGTATATTCATTTCATATAAAGAGTGAGACAAATGTAAAATCCAATCCTTTTGGGTTGGTGCATGTGACAATTTCAACTTTAAAGCGCAGATATAAAACCTTCAACCCACCCTGCTCCCACTCATTCACTGATTACAAAAACAAATAAAACAAGACTTTTAGTCTGTCGCCACGTGACCCGACATGGTGACTTCAAGGAATGAAGACTTGTGGTCCCACTGCTTCATCCTAGGCCACTGCTACCCCTCCCTGAGATGTTATATCACACGTCCTTGTGGACCCGCTGCTAGACAGTCAATGGGAAATGGTTTATACCACCCTAGCACTGATGTGGGCATCTGAGGAAGGGCCCCATACTCTACTGAATCTTCTGTCATGTAGTGCACTGGGTTCCAAGTCTTCTTTCTTCTGGACTGTAAAGTAAAAGAGGTTTTAATATTTTTTTTAATTAAACCTAGCAATTTGTCGGAAAGGTGGTGTGGGTTAAAAGGGTAGTGAGAGGGCTGTTCCCAAACATGAGCTTTAACAGAATGTCACAAAATGTGCCC